CGCGGAGCCCGGGGCGCTGGGGACGGGGGCTGCGGCCGGGGAGCCGGTGCAGAGGCTGAGCAGGAGGCAGTGGAGAAACAAGCAGAAGAATAAGCGGCGCCAGAAGAGCAAGCTCCAGGCGGGACCTGGAGGGGAGCAGGGCGTGGATGGGCAGGCGGGCACGGGACCGAGCGCCCCGGAGCTTCCCAGCCTGGAAGCGGCTCCTTTGGGACGGTCGGCAGCCCTGCGTGCACGGATGGAGGAGCGGCTCCTGGCCGCCCGGTTCCGGTACATCAACCAGCAACTCTACACATCCACCAGCCAGGAAGCAGCACAGCTCTTCCAGAGCGACCCTGAAGCATTCGAAATCTACCACCGTGGCTTTGCTCAGCAAGTGGGGCGCTGGCCGGAGAACCCTGTGCATCGCATCGTCCGCTACCTGCGGCGGCGGTGAGCGGGCAGAACCGGGGAGTGCTGGAGAGCTGAGCCCAGGGCCACCTCTGGGTGCGGGGACCCGCTGAGGTGGTGGGGCGAGGGGGAAGGGGTGTTCTGAGCCTGCTGAGCCTCCGCTCCCCCCCCCCAGGCCAGCCTCACTGGTGGTGGCGGATTTTGGGTGTGGTGACTGCAAGATTGCAAGCAGCATCAAGAACAAGGTTCACTCCTTTGACCTGGTGCCTCTCAGCCCACTGGTCACCGTCTGCGACATGGCCAAGGTAGGGGGGACGGGCGGCGCATGGAGGGGATGGGGGGAGGGGCGGCAACGGGAGGGGGGGGCATCGGCAATGCGCGCACCGCACCCACCAGGATGTTGGTGGGGGCTGGTGGGGTGGGCTTGATGCTGCCTGGCAGGTTGCAGGGGCGTGGGTTGGGGTGGCGATTGAGGGGGCAGGGGAGGGTGGTCAGGGATCCTGAGGGTCCTGTGTGTGGGAGGGAGCACATGTCTGCGGGCTCCCCAGAGAAGATGCTTAGTTGAATCCAAGAGCCTGGGGAGCGGCGAAGCGTGGAAGGGCTGCCCCAGCCCCATCGCCATCCTCCTCCTGGGGCGGGCGTCCTGGTTGGTGTCTGGCAGGTGCCTTTGGCGGCTGAGTCGGTGGACGTTGCGGTGTTCTGCCTGGCACTGATGGGCACCAACCTGCAGGAGATCCTGGAAGAGGCCAACCGCGTGCTGAAGCAGGGGTAGGCAGAGACGTGTGTGCCAGGCTGGTGAGGGGCAGGAGGCATCGGGGTGAGACTGGGAGGCGTGCGCTGGCCTTTGGGTGGGCAGTGAGGAGCGGAGGTGCCTGCGCTGCCGCCGCTCAGGGCTGGGGTGTTCCGCAGGGGTACCCTGATGGTGGCTGAGGTGGCCAGCCGCTTCGAGGACATCCGAGCCTTCGTGAATGCCATGGCTCAACTGGGCTTCAAAAGTGTCTCCAAGGTGTGTCCTCAGGTGTGCCCTGTGCTGGGTGCACTGGGCCCCCGGGAACCAGGGAGCCCCGAGAAGGAGCCCGTGGTCCCTGGCAGCCAGAGACCACCCTTCCTGCTCTGGCAGCAGGGCAGGGCAGTACAGCTCAGCCTGGTGCTGGCGGGGAGCTGGCCTGGGGGTGGTGACAGCATATGGGGGTTTGGGGGACCTGGGGGCTGTGGAGCTGGGGTCTGTGGAGCTGGGGTCTGAAACGGGGTCTGGGGGACCTAGGGCC